GTGGCAACGCCCGCATGCGTCCGCCGCCACCCAGCACGGCCCTTGCTCCCTGCGCTTCACCCACCCAGTACAGCGCGTCGTGGCCCCATAGGGGGCTCCACCGAAGGTCCCACTGGCACCGCCCGCATGCGTCCGCCACCACCCAGCACGGCCCTTGCTCGCTGCGTTTCACCAACCCAGTACAGCGCTTCGTGGCACCATACGGGGCTCCACCGAAGGTCCCAGTGGCACCGCCCGCATGCGTCCGCCACCACCCAGCACGGCCCTTGCTCCCTGCGCTTCACCCACCCAGTACAGCGCGTCGTGGCCCCACAGGGGGCTCCACCGAAGGTCCCACTGGCACCGCCCGCATGCGTCCGCCACCACCCAGCACGGCCCTTGCCCCCTGCGTTTCACCACCCAGTACAACGTTTCGTCGCCCCATAGGGAGCTCCACCGAAGGTCCCAGTGGCACCGCCCGCATGCGTCCGCCACCACCCAGTACAGCCATTTCTCCCTTCGTTTCACCCACTCAGTACAGCGCTTCGTGGCACCATACGGGGCTCCACCGAAGGTCCCAGTGGCACCGCCCGCATGCGTCCGCCACCACTCAGCACAGCCCTTGCTCCCTGCGCTTCACCCACCCAGTACAGCGCTTCGTGGCCCCATCAGGGGCTCCACCGAAGGTCCCAGTGGCACCGCCCGCATGCGTCCGCCACCACCCAGCACAGCCCTTGCTCCCTGCGTTTCGCCCACCCATCACAGCGCTTCGTGGCCCCATGGGGAGCCCCACCGAAGGTCCCAGTGGTACCGCCCGCATGCGTCCGCCACCACCCAGCACAATTGCGGCATTCCCAACTGCATATGGTTGGGTTCTTCGCCAAGCTAATTTCTGGCCTCTGGGGGCCCTTTCTGGGCCACGGGACGAACGAAAACCGACTCAGGATAAAAAAAGGTCCCGGGGAAGTGATCCCCCAAATGTTTTCAAGAATTCGAGAGTTCTCGCTGTTTCGGGGTTCCGACGCCCCAAGACGGCCCCAGAGGCACCCAAGATCGCCTCAACATGGCCCAAGAGGCCCCCAAAGAGGCCCGCAAGAAGGCCCGAGAGGGCCCCAAGATGGCCCAAGGCGGCGGCAGTGTGTCGCTGGCGGGGGCCTGGTCACGTCACGTTTCGTGCCGGCGCCATCTTCCGAGCAGGACAAGGTACTGATACCGCTGCCCTTGCGTCGTTTTCGCCTTTGGGGGCCTCCAGGGATGCTTTCGTTGCTACCGTTGGATTCGCCTCGAAATTCCGGTCAGAACGCACACCGGGAGAGGTCCAGGGAGTAGCGGCATCGGTACCTTTTGATTTCCACAATAAAGTCACGTTTCGCACCGGTGCCGTCTGGGAACGCTTAGGAAAAAGCCAAAAGACAGCTCGGACGTCAGCACAAATTGGGGCGTTGCCTTGGGGGGCGGCTGGGGCTGGTAACGGCCACATCCCGCAAGAGCAGGTAACCCCAGCAAAGCGCCCCTACTAGCAGCAAGGGTGAAGAGGCGGGCTGGTCGAGGAGCGGGGCGTACCCCTTCTCTTCCTCCTGCTCATCCTCCTGCTCAGTCGCGACCTCCTCCTCCTCCTCCTCCTCCTCTTCCTCCTCCTCCTCCTCCTCCTCTCCTCCTCTCCTCCTCCTCCTCCTACTCCTCCTCTTCCCCCCTCCTTCTCCCCCCTCCTCCCCCCCTCCTCCCCCCTCCTCCTCCTCCTCCTCCTCCTCTCCTCTCCTCCTCCTCCTCCTCCTCCTCCTCCTCCTTCTCTCCTCCTCCTCCTCCTCCTCCTCCTCCTCCTCCTCCTCCTCCTCCTCCTCCTCCTCCTCCCCCTCATCCCCCTCCATCCTCCTCCTCCTCCTCCTCCTCCTCCTCCTCCTCCTCCTCTCCTCCTCCTCCTCCTCCTCCTCCTCCTCCTCCTCCTCCTCCTCCTCCTCCTCCTCCTCCTCCTCCTCCGGTTCGCAAAACCCCACCACCCCCGATGCTTGCGCCTCACCCCGTGGGGTCAGTATGGTTCCCCTGAGCGGCGGAAGGGGGGGTGGCCGAAGAGGAGCAGCTTTCCCCAGCAAGACACGCCCGATGGCAGCAGGTGAATAAGGGCGGGCTGATCGGGGAGACGAGAACCCCAGATCTCCGATTTCGGGCGTTTTTCCCGCCTTCGGGCGCTATTTTTCACCGCCTTCGGGCAGCTTTCCTCATTTCCATGTGACGTCGGCTTCCGGAGCCCCTTGTCAGGCCCCTGGGCCACCAGGAATGGATCCGGGACGCAGAACTGCCTCCCTGGAAGGAGTCGGGAGCTTTGTGGGGCCGCGGGTTGTGAAGAAAACGCTACCCAAGCAAAATACCCTGACGGCAGCGAAGGTGAAGAGGCAATCGAGGAGTAGCAGGTCGGCTAAAGGGAAGGGGTGCAAAAGCGCCTTGTGCACCTCAGTGTTTTGCACCAGTTATCGTGGCCGTCCGGCGGGCCAAGGGCGGCGTCGGAGGACACACCGGGGGGGTCCCTCGCAAATCCAAGAAATCCGCACGGACCTCCGAACGTTTACATATGTTTATGCTTTTCCTTCGTCGAATCACGTCGACGGGGCGTTCGACGTCTTCGACGGTTCCGACAACGACGACGACGGCGACGACGACGACGACGACGCCAACGACGACGGCGACGACGACAGCTGCGGCGGCACCTGCAGTGGGGTGTGGGTGTCGTCGTCGAGGATACGGGATAGAGATCCGAGGACCGAGGTTCAAGGGTCGAGGTTCGAGGACCGAGGTTCGAGGGTGGAGGTCAGAGGATCGAGGTTCGAGGATCGAGGATCGAGGTTCGAGGATCGAGGTTCGAGGAAGGGTCGTCATCGTCGCCGCCGCCACCGTCGCCGCCGTCGTCGTGTTCCACGTCATCGTTTCTGGATATCGTCGCCGCGGCTGGACGCGGCTCGAAAAAGCAGCCAGGATGGACCCCGGGATGGATCTGGACGCCGACCTTGCACGAATTTTCGCTCGACGTCGTCGTCATCGTCGGAGTCTGAAAAAAAGCAGCAAGCGGATCAGGACCAGGAGGAGGGAGAAGTGGACAGGATATGAGCGAGCAGGTAACAGGGTCGAGGGCCGACTCGCTTGGGAGCCCCATGTAACTCTAGCAGGATGATAGAGTGGCAGCACATTCTCACAGAATTATGAAAAAATGTGGCCAGCGCTAATAAAAAAAAGCGCAAGAAAGGTTTCTAATTCGATTGGGATTCCACTAGCGCGGAAGACGGCTTTAGTAGTAAATGATTATCGTCGAACGGAGAAATTGTCCTCATATGTCGTATGTATGAAATGCGATAGACCGTGCATGCGTTAGAGACGGCACTATGTAGTAGGACTGTGTGAAGGTAGTCAGGTCTAGTAATATTGTAGCAGAATTGGCTACCAGAGCTAAGACGTGCGCCTTATATTGGACCCTATATGAACGGCGAACAGCTGCGAAAGGGTCTTGTCACAGTTGTAGCCAGCTCTGACTGATTATATCCATCTAAGATGTGAAACCATACGTAGCAGGATACAGTAAGAGCAGGCGTCATCTCTGGTAGAATGTGGCCAGCACTGATCGGATTCCCTTAGTGCTGTAGCCCGCTCTCGGCGGATTGTATGAGACTCGCAGCGATGTCTAGAAGAATTACATTGACAGTCTTGTCCGCGCCTCTAATAGAATCAGACCAGAGCTGTCGCCAGCTGTTGAGGGTTTACATTAACGCTGCAGCCAGCTGTAGCCGGGCCAGACCAAAGTCGTAGCCAGCTCGAGTGGGACCATTTTCGAGGAGCGTCTCGAGCATGAGCCTTTTAGAGCTGTACCGCGCTCGAGCGTCCTAGTGGGATCCCTGTAGACTTGTAGCCAGCTGTAGCAAGCCAACTGAGCTGAGCAGTCAGCTTCATTGGGGTCTCATTTGGGGTTGTAGGCAGATCGAAACAGCACCGCTTAGGGCAGGGCCCATATTGCGAAGTGTCCGTATACCATGCTAAACTGCTTTTCGCATTATCCGAGCGCCCGTCGATGTCCAGCGGTGCCCGCGCATGTCAAGCGTTCCGCCGTTGTTTTGCAGGTGGCGCGTGGGATTGTTTAGCATCTGCGTGGGTTCTTCCATTCCCGAATGAACCCTACGATATCTGCTTTCAGCATACGAGGTTCGCCGTCCAGCACGCATTGCATCCAACCAGAATGCGATCCACTACAATATTTCGCAAACGCAAACACAAAACAAACGCGCATTCGAGAAATTACACAATGTGAGCTACAGGCTGCCATGCAGCATGATGTCTCCGCTTCCTGAATATTAGGGCCATGTCTCCGCCTCCTCCCCGGCCACATAGACCCCACACACATTCAGACTCACTCATACTCAGACTCAACACTCCAGTTCACCAATTCCCACGTGCGCCCATAGTCGGATACACGCAAACTCAGATGCACTCACACGCAAACTCGCTTCTCACACTCCGACATGTACACACTCAAAGTCACTCACAGTCAGACCAACTCACATTCAGACATACTAGACCACTCCCACGCAGGCTCGCCCCACACCCAATTTGCAAGGATGTCTCGAGCACGGCCCGAATTTCAGCACACCAAGGGGGAGCCGCCAGGGGTGGTTGCACGGCCCCGTTCGCGCCCAGATTGTGGGGATGCCTCAGGAGGGTTGCCTGCGCGGTGGCCCAGACCCCTCTGCTTTCACAGCAGATTGCGAGGATGCCTCCAGCGAGGCGCTGGCTTCAGCACCCCATTGGGGAGCCGCCAAGGGTGGCTGCACGACTTCATTCGCGCCCAAATCGTGGCGATGTCTCAAACGGTTTGCTTGTTTGGTGGCCCAGACCCGTCTGCTGTCAGCGAGGATGCCCCCAGCGAGGCGCTGGCTTCAGCACCTAAAGGGGGGAACCGCCAAAAGGTGGCTGCACGGCCCCGTTGGCCCCAAGTGTGAGGATGTACCAGGCGGTGTGCCTGCATGGAGGCCCACTCCTCTGCTTTCAATTCAAGTTGGGAGGCTGCCGCAGCCGCCCAGCTTGTGGACGATGGACATGGTGGACAATAAGCTGGACGACGTCGACGAGAAAACAATCCGAACCGCGGCGAAGTCGAGCGTGGTGACGGTGGAAAACTTGTTAGTGTAGGGCTACTGGTGACGACTGCGCCGAGCCGCGCCAAAGGGCGTCGCGTCACCGCGCCGCGCCGGGCCGCGTCCCACCCTCGGCCGGCGCCGGGGGCGCCATCCAACGGGGCCCCGTGGGGGCGCAAACGGTGACCCCGAATTGGATAACCAGTCGCGGCGCGCGCGCGTGAGGCAGTCTTTGCCTCCTTTACACGCCACGCCTCCAATCAGCATCAAAATATCATTCTTCAATTCTCGTCATTCGTGAGCCCCTGCCGTGCCCGCGCGGCTATGGTGCCAATGCATGTACCCCCGCCTGGCGGCGATATACACTTTCACTGCCACCGTGCCCTGATACTGGCCGGACAGAAACATGGGGCCCCCACCTGTCCAGCAGGTTGAATAGTTCATTCTCGGTGTATGTTTGAAGACACTACGTAGCGCCTCGTACGAGGGGCCCCCTGGGCCAGGGCCGTCGCACCGGCGCTGCTAATAATGCTGATGTTGTAGAGGTCAAGCTCCCGAATGCTGGTCATCTGCGGCAGCGCCTTCGCGAGCGCCTCCGCGCCAGCGTTGCGCAGGTTGTTGCAGCTGAGAAACAGCTTCTTCAAAACTGCGCACCTGCGGCAGCGCCTAGGCCAGGGCTGTCGCGCTAACGCCGCACAAATTGTTGGAGGCGAAGCTCCTGAAGGCTGGTCATACGCTGCAAAGCCTTCGCAAGAGACTCCGCGCCAGTGTCGCCCAGGGCGTTGTCCTGAAGGTCAAGCGCCTTCAAACTGCGAAGCTGCGGCAGCACCTCGGCCAGGGCTGTCGCGCCGGCGTCGCCCAGACTGTTGTGGTATAGGTTAAGGGTCTCCATGCTGGGCATATGCGGCAGCGCCTTGGCCAGGGCCTCCGCGCCGACGCTGCCCAGCGGGACGAGGCCCAGCACGTGCAGGCTGGTCATCTGCGGCTGGGCCTTTGCGACAGCCTCCGCGCTGGCGCTGTCCAAATTCAACACGTGCCGGTGGCGCAACGGCGGGAGCACTGCTGACAGGGTCTTGATTCCCTCGAAGCTCAAGACTGCAAAATCGAAAATCGAAAACCATACTGACCAGCGGGTTCTCGCCGTCCCGCCCGGACGACGGCTGGCGGGGGGCGTCGCCGTCGCCCACATTGGCGTTGCCCGCCTTGGTCTGAGCGAACACCGACTGCTGCAGGCGGCGTGGGAAGCTCTGGCTGGCTTCTGAACGACGGCCCCGTCGGCCGCGGGGGCTATTGTTGCTGGCACGACCGCTCACTCCTTGGCCTTCCGCTCGGCCCCCGCCCTGCGCTCAGCCTAGGCCTTGCGCCCGACCTCCTCTGCTTCGGCCTTGTGCTTCGGGACCTTCCTTCGCGTCCTTGAACTTCCTCATGTGCCCAACCTTGAGCCAAATCTCATTCAGTTCGCCATCGTCCAAGGAAAACAACATGTCACATTGCGTCGACACCCCTTTTCTTCGAGGGTCGCGTACGATCGGAAAGACCAGCTTTATTCATCCATCTGCCCAGATCGCCCTTGACCGCTGTCTTGCCGTGGTCGCCGCCATCCAATATCTTGTCGACAACCTCGACCAGCGTTCCCTTCGCAGCCTCGCAATAGCCTTGGGACCGGTCGGAATCGATTGCCACCACCTTCAAAACGCCGCTTGCGAACGCCTCTTTGCCTCGGGAAAGAAATCTTCAACCTTAGAGTGCTTGCATGCCCAGAACACGTCGTTTCCATCCTTGTGTTCGCCGTCCACGCAGGCTTTCAGACCTCATCCCAAGTGAACTTGTTCTTCGAACTGGATATATGTTTGCAGCACCGCTTGTTCGGAAACTCGTCATCGCAGAGCGCAAGCAGCACCTTCGAGGTGCACACGGCCCTCACACACTTGGCAACGTTCTCGCCCAGAAAGCTGCATATATCAAACAACACCTTGTAGCAAATATGTGAACAACTGGTGCACCTGTTACACGAACGAATATACCTCATACCTGTACGACTTTTCGTGTGGCAAAAGAAAATGTCAGACATGTCCCTTGCTAAGCGGCGTTAGCTGACCGCGGAAGAATTATGTTTGAGACGAGATCCGGTTAAAGTTTCTGAGCCGCAGAAGCTTGATCCAAAATGGCTACGGAAACTGCCCGAGGCCTTTTTCAAGCAAGTTGGTCAAATTGGTTGCATACCTCTTGGGGTCATGACTTCCTGCGCCTTTTGTCGTATCTTTCCTCGGCGTCTTTTCACGTTCCATGCATTGTTTGGCCGCTGGCCCCGAGAGATGCAGAGGTGAAACATTTGCGGCGATAGTGCCCAGGATGGCCCTGGCCAAGCACGATGGCGACACCCACACCATGATTGCAGTAGGCAAAATTGCGATGCCTTGGACATAGGAAGCACAGAGACATACTAATATTGTATGTCCTCTTTGGAAGCGCGCGTCCGACCCGAACATATCTATACCCATCTTGTAGTATATCGTTTCCCGAGCGGTGTGGCCAGAAAGCGCCCGCCACGACGCATATACTATAAGATTTCTCAGTGCGCGCGTCGCCCCTGGGGGGGCGACGCTCACATAGTATCAGTAGTTTGGGTTGACGCCGATGACATCCGCCGATACGTTTTTCAATCCGCGGCCCAAGAGGACCCGACCGCTTCCCCGCGGGTATTTCTACGCCCCAAGTCCATGCCAGCCGGCCACGGGGCCCGAAAAGGGGCCCCTGAGGCTGACATCGATGCGACACGCCCAGCTTGCAAGAAACACATCGTCGGAGATTTGGGTCTCCATGGATGCCTTCTGCGTTCCTCATCACAGGCTCCTCAGGCCACCAACGGTGATGGGCCTGTTTTCCACCACCACCACCAGAAGTTTGAGGGAGGGTGCAGGAGTAGGAGTAGGACGAAGAGGAGGAGGAGGAGGAGGAGGAGGAGGAGGAGGAGGACTCCCTCCTCCTCCAACTTATGGTGGTGGTGGTGGAAAACAAGCCCATCAAACGGATCTCCCGGTGCCAGGGAGCCGCGCGCGCGAGCGCGAGGGGCAGCATGGAGGGCCCTTTTCTGCCCCCCGCGCACGGCCTCCGCAGCCGTCGGCCGGCGGCCTTGGGCCAGCGGCCTTTGGCCAGGCAGGCGCCCGGGCGCCGTCGGGACCTGGGCCCGAGCCTCGACGGGGTGAGCGTTCGACGCCGCACGGCACGAGGGGGCAGAAGGGAGAAGGAAGGGGGGGAAGGGGAAGGAGGAGGAGGAGGAGGAGGAGGAGGAGGAGGGGGAGGAGGAGGAGGGAGGGGAGGGGGGGGAGGAGGAGGACGAGGAGGGAGAGAGGAAGGGGGAGGCGGACCAGGAGAACAGAGCCGAGGCCACGTGCACAGCAGAAAAAAGAGCGGGGCGCGGCGCTCCCATCGGGGATGCTGAAGCACTGAAGCGGGCCGTGATTTTCGGCCTGCACGCAGACTTCGTTCGTCGACACGGCGCCCCCTCCCTCTCGCCATCCCGCCCAGGTCTGCGTCAAAAACTCTCAGCGTTTTGCGTATCCCCACGAGCACAATGCAGGAACGATGCCTGTGAAAACTTCCCTTATAGGGGTAGGGGGAGCGTGGCATCGTTTGGGTGAACTAGAGGCCTCTTGGATGCCTCTCGGAATCGCTTGGGATGTCTCCTGGGGCCTCTTGGTGGCCTCTGAGGGTGTCTCTTGTGGTTTGGGCCTCTTGGGGGCATCTTGGGAGCCTCTTGAGAACCTTTTGGGGGCCTCTTGGGGGAGGGGCAGGAGGAGGAGGAGGAGGAGGAGGAGGAGGAAGAGGAGGAGGAGAAGGAAGAGGAGGAGGAGGAGGATCACCGTTCGTCCCTGTGGTCCGTCTCCCGGATGCAGCAGAGGAGGCACCGGCAGGACAAGCATTGCCAGCGAAGGTCATGGGACAAGCTCCCTGCAGCAATGTATGCTGAATCAACCTCCTGTTCCTGCTCCTCGTTATGATGGCTCCCCGCACGACCCTCGTACCAGCACCATGCATATAAGCCACAACAACAAGAACACGGCTCGGCCTCATAATCATCGGCAGCAGCATCGTCATCCTCATCGTCGTCCTCAACATCATCGTCAGCGGCAGCCTCATAGTCCTCATCCTCATCATCAACATCAGCGTCATCATCATCCCTCCTCCTTCGTCTCTCCTCACTACTCAGACTCCTCCCCCATCCCTTTTCCCTGATCCCCCTCTTCGGAGCAAGTGCAGTGCTCAGTTCTACGCAGCCCGAAGCCGCACGGGCACTGATCAAGCCGAGGCAATTCGATTATCTCAGCTGAGCTTGTGCGCCACGAAATCCTGGGCGCGACGCGACTGGATCGGCGGTGAGATCAGCAGCAGAACGCGCACCTCCCGCTGTCACCATCCAGCTCCATCCCTCCTCCTCCTCCTCCTCCTCCTCCTCCTCCTCCTCCTCCTCCTCCTCCTCCTCCTCGTCTCCCTCCTCCTCCTCCTCCTCCTCCTCCTCCTCCTCCTCCTCCTCCTCCTACTCCTCCTCCTGCACCCTCCCTCGAGACCCCACTTCTCTGCTACCACGACCCCCATCCACCTCCAGTCTCGTTCCACCCTCCCTCCCTCCCTCCCTCCCTCCCTCCCTCCCTCCCCCACTCCATCCATCAGATCTCCTCCACCCCTCCCCTCCCTCCAACCCCCACCCAAAGGGACCGAGGGGGGCCTGAGGAGAAAGGGGGAGAGAGGGTGAGAGGGGGAGGAGGAGAGGACAGGGAGAGGGAGAAGGCGGGGCGAAGGAGGAGAGGGCACGGTGATGGGGGCAGAGGAGGAGAGGGATGATGATGAGGAGGAGGAGGAGAAGGAGGAGGATGAAGCAGCCTGAGGCGAGCTCTAGCCACTAATTGAACCTGCCTCGGACCAGCCCTCCTGGTTCCGGAGGCCCCTGCATCAGAATCCTGATGGGATCCGCTCCCTCCTAGTCGGTGGCGAAAGTGGCCGAACAAAAAAAACAGCGCCACCCACTGGTTGAGGGCCTGCCAGCACTCTCGACCAATACTTGTTCATGATGTACTCTCCTACCTCCCCTCACGCTTATCGTTGGCAACTTTAGCGTATCACAGCTGCCAATCCTCTCATACACGGCCTGAGCTTGCTACCGGCAATAGTGTCCATTGCTGGACTTCTCATCACGGCCCTAGCATCTAGCGTACCACTACCATCGGCCAGGCAGCGCGGGCCTACCAGCGTATTCATGGCGGGGATCCGGCGGGCTTCAGCAAGGGGGTCGGGTATGGAGGTCAGCACTCGAGGAAGGACAAACAGCGTCCCAGCAGCCTTACTGAGGCCAGGGAGAGCCGACCCCCTAGCAGCATTCGGTCTTACTGCAGATTTGTTGTACTATCCTACCCCACCTCCTCATGCACAGCATGGGCTTACTACCAGAAATGGTGCACATTGCTGGCATTCTTTCTCACCACGGCCCTAGTCTTTAGCGTACCACTGCCATCGGCCACGCGGCGTCGATCTATCAGCGTACTTATGGCAGGGATCGGGCGGGCTTCATTTGGTGGGTGAAGGAGGTGGACAGCATTACTGAGGCCAGGCTGAGCCGACCCTCTAGCAGCACTCGGTCTGAGAGCATCTTTGCAGTACTCACCTACCTCCGTTCGCGCTGGTCACTGCCAACGTTGCCTGTCCTACAGCCCGTACTCTTCAGCACGGATCCAACCTTCATACCACTGTTGGAGGAAGTGGCGCAGCAAGTCTACCTGGCCCCCCTGGACTCCAGGGAGCTGGCCGCAAGACTTTGTAGCCTCACCGCTACCGAGTGTTTGCTAGGCCAGCCTATTTCGTCTGCACCAGCCTGAAGGCATGTCTGATTGATCCTTACTCTAACTGTCATACTGCTTTTCCTGTCCTACACCATGTTGGTGAGTAAGTAGAGGGCTGGCCATCAGGGTCCTCCCCACTGTGAACTACTTACCACAGCACCTGTCAGCACGTACAGCCTCGTATTAAGCCCAGCTAGAGATTGTTTCAACTGTCTTCCTCAACACATCTCCCACGGGCCAGCCAGTCTCCATGGCCAGCCTACGCATATTCGGCCAACCATTACCGCAAAGGACTCATGCTTCACCCGATAAGGAATTACAAAATTCATGAAGGTCCTGGGGCCAAGGACATTTGGGGTGAACCGAAAAACCCTGGGCGGCAACCCAAGAATTGCCAACACTTGCTTCTTCCTCTTCTGCTGTAAGTCTCCAACCTCCCCCATCTCACAGCTACCTCAACGTCCGTTCGGTTCCGATGTGCACTTTAACAGGCCAGCCATCTCCTGTGCCAGCCTTCAGCATGCCAGTCCTGCACGCACGGTGCATCTACGGATCCTCGGTGGACCACAGTAGCATCCATGTCGCCGCGCCTCTTTCTATGTATGCCAGCTCTTTTCACTTGGCTTGCGTTCCACATTCATATCATCGGAGCTGGGAGGTGGGTTGCTTACCTTATTGGTAGCGGTGGGGGAAGGGTCTCTCTGTAGCATTTCTGCGTCGTCTGTTGTTGATTATGTTTTGCGCCGTCTACTGCACTGCACGCGTACTTCGATACTCCCTCTGCTACTATTTCTGTTACCCTCGGATCAGACTAACTAAGGTTGTTTTTGTTGTTTTTTCCCCGACTCCACATCGGCGGCAGGCATCGTTACTCTAGCCCTTGGGCGCTCTGCTTTTGCCTGCACTCTTCATACACGGGCCTGCCGCCGAATTTGCTCACACCACTGCGTGAAGTCGCTTTTTGGCAACACTTCAAAACGTTGCGAGCCTCGCGCTTGAAGTCGCCGACGATTTTTGTGGCGGCCAACCGTGTTGCCAGAGTGTCCCGCTGCAGGGGTGGTTCGGCCGTTCGCGCCAGGGCGCCGAGCGTCGCAAAATAAAACGCTTGGGCGCGAAAAAAACAACCATTTTGTCGGGCCCCAAAAGGGGGCCCACCTCGGAGGCACTTGGGAGGTGCCTGCGGGCAGCAGCCCGAGGCGGGGGCCGCGCCATGGGCTGGGGCAGCGGGCCGGGCTGCGCGCGCCAGGGACTTGCGCGGGGGCAGCGCGTGTGCTCCACGATGCCTTCGCGAGGCCGCACGCCGCCGCCGGGCTCTCCCCCCCGCTCTGCGAGGCCTCCGGGGAGGCCGCGGAGCTGGAGCAGCAGCCCGGGACGGGGAACCTCCTCCCCGCCGCACCGTCGGCCACCGGATGAGGACCTTGAAGGAGCTGGAAGAGCAGGCTCGGCTCCTGCCCCTCGGCAGCGGCGACGAGGCGCAGTGCCGCTCGCAGGCGTGCGACGCCTTGACGTTCGACGAGGACATGCCCCGAGCCGCTGGGCGAGCAGCTGAGGGGCAGGTCAGCGAGACGCAGTGGGTCTGCAGAGTTTCGGTGCAGCCATCGCGGGGTGGCGCCAACGCGAAGGGCAGCGCGTGCCACGTGCGCATATGGAGGCGGGCGCACTCCAGGTGTGCCCGACGGCGCTCGCTCATCGCCCCAAGTACTGCCACGTACCCTGCCTGGGGCGAGCTCTCGGCCGGGCTGCGAAGGTTGAAGGGCTTACAACCTTGCCTGCAACCCTTCAGGCAGAGGTTGCCCTGTGGCTGGAGGCGCCGCCGCCTGGCCCCCCGCCTGCGGATGCGAGCATGGGCGGCTCTGCCGAGCAGGATGCGGCAAAGGGCAACATGCATTCGCCGGACATCGAGGTGACTCCAAGCGCCGTGGTGTTACCTGAGCCTGGGGTTCTGCATCACATGTCTTGGCGGTCGACCTCAGGTGCGTCAGGCATGGGGGAGGCGTACATCGGCATCGACTCCCTGCTCACGAACCTCGCCTCGACGCTGGACGGGGCTCCGAGGCGCGTGAGGCCGTCTCCACGGACATCCTGCAAGCCACTTCTCAAGCCGAGGCTGTCGGGGGCTGGCGGTGCTTGCTGAGCATGGACCGCATGCTCTTTGGTGAGCTCCATGTGAGTCGCGGGAGCGACGCAGACACCACGGTGACGGCGAAGGTGTCCGAGCGGCTGCAAGAGTTTCGGGCTGGACGTTGACAAACCCTGCTGTGCGATACTGCGATCACCTCTCGCGACGGGGGGGGCCAGACAGAAAGACCGTACAGTGTATCGTGTGCGAAATTTGCTGACGAAAGGCGAGCTTGGCTGGGCTGCCGCTCAGCAGCGATGCACACTCCCACCAAAACTGCAGAAACCTACGTGCAGCAGGGCCCGCAAGCGCCTGATGGCCCCGATGTGGACAAACCTGCTGATGCTGACGCTGCGAACCACCTGCGTCGAGATGTCCAGGAATGATGGGGAAACCAAAAGGTACCGATACCGCTACCCCCCGGACCTCTCCCGGGGTGCGTCCTCACCACGATTTCGAGGCGAATCCAGCGGTGCCGACGGGGGCCTCCCAGGAGTCCCAAAACACGGAAAACGGGCACCACTTCCTCCTCCGAAATGCCTGCGAGGCCATTGACGCAAGGCGCCCCAGGGGCCGGGAGCCCGTCAGCAGGGCGTTCGGCTCGAGCATTGGCATTCAGTCGGGCATGTCCTCCTACAAGGGATTCTGCGCGAAAATTCAAAATTGACAAACAATACTCCAAAATTGTCGAAACATTTTTTTAAGAGAAAACAAAAACAACAATATATATACATGAAAAAACAAAACAAAAAAACAAACAACAACAACAAAAAACGTTCCCAGGCTATCGTTTTACTATGTTTGAACTATTCCTCTTGTAGAGGAACAGGCCCGACTTAACACTGGCAGCCGCTGGCTCACACGGCCGGGCGAGGAAAGGCCACGGCGCGTGTGCCAGCCGCGCTCGCGGGGGGAGGCGCGCTTTGGGGAGAGGCTGGCGTTGGCGCTGGCGGGCAGGCTGCCGGGCTTGGCCGGAGATGGAAGCGAGGCGAGGCGACACCGACATAGGGAGACAAGCCATGACATACACATAAAAACTCGGAGGTCTGAGTTTTTATGTGTATGCCGCTTTTTGTTCCCCCACAACAACACCAGGGCGAGGAGACGCGAGGAGGCAAAGGGGGGTCTCCCTGGTGGCGTGGTCCCTCCTCTCGCTCGAGACATCCCCAGCCTCCAGCTCGGGGAGGCCTCGTGGATCTCCTCGCTGGAAGTGGGCCCCCAGGTGGTGTTGGTGTCGCTTCTCCTCCCTTCGAAAAAAGACGATTGGTCGGCTGCGCAGTGTGCAAGGCGAAACGGGCCGCCGTCGCAGAGGCAGTCGGCGACTGCCAGCACGGCGTGGGGGCAGTCATCTAGCACAGAAGCTTTACACAAGACGCTGAGCGCACAGGCGGAACAGCTTGTAGAGCAGGCTTACGCTTCCCTTGACATGGCGAACACGTTCCGCTGCATCCAGAGACGCAGCGTCTTCTGGGCACTCCGGGCGAGGTGTCTTAACATGGAGCTTCTGCCCCGCCAGTGGCATGTAGGACCGCGCAGCGACCCACGCGGCCAGCGGAGGCGGGAACGCAGCCAAGACGGTGCAGCAGCTGCATGGCTTAGGCCAGGGCTTTCCGCTCGGCCCGGCCCTTCTTGCCATCGCCGTGGCACCAGCGGTGGGGAGCCTCCGAGACTTTACACGCCGACGTTCTGCGAACTCCTGGGTGTACACTTACCTGGTCGTCCCGCGGCGGCACCTGCGAAGCGTCCTGGCGGAGATCGCGGCGCGTCTTCGGCGAGTTCGGGCTGCACCTGCGGGAACCGGAAACACGCACGTCGTTCCCCGCAGGCCCGCCGGCCGACGTGCCCGCTGACCCGGCCCAGCACGTGGTGAGAGAGCGCCCCTGCCTTGGGAGTCGCGTCTGAAAGAATCGGGCTCTACATGACAGCAATGGTTTCTATTTCGACGAGGCGCCTGTCAGCAACAAGATCATAAAACGGCGACACGTAGACGACGTCAACCTTGCATCGCGCTGGTATTGCAGCTGTTGCTTGGAAGTCTTTGCGAAACTCTGCTATTCAGCCCCCCTCCCAGTGGTGCACTGGAGCTGCGACGCCGTGGTACGGGGCCCGTTCGCTTGGGTTGACTTAGAACTCCGTACAACCAATGATTTGTGATCATGCTGAAAAATGCTAAGCGGCCGTGGCTGCACGACCGAAAACAAACCTAAGCAGGACCATGGCATACATATATACATATATCTATGTGTATATATAGATGTATTCCCTTGGGCCAGGGGCATCACCTCGTCCGTTCTCGGTGTTGCGGGGCATGGCGATCGGAGGGCTCAGCAGGGCAGAAGCATTGGGAATCGGCCCTGAGTTTTCCATGGTGTGCCTCTCGGAGCTTATCTTGGGACACCGTATTTGAGCAAGGACCGACCGTCCTGGCATTCCTATAGGCCTACCACGACATGTTCTTAGAACCCAAAAGCGTTCTAAGAAGAAACACCATATTCTTAAAACATGAACGCGATGTGTTAAAACAAGACAGTCCCAGCCAGAGATGTTCTAAGAACACTTCGTGGAAACCACAAAAGGGTTCTTAGAACATTGTTTGGTAGGCCTATAGGCACGCCAAGACGCTCCACCAAAGCTTGACGCATGGTCAAGCATCCCTGTCGGATTACTCTGGGCGTTGGTGCATTTGATATGCCGAACGTGCCGGCCGCGATCGTGGCGAAGCTCACGACATAAGGGAATGGGGCAAGTATAGCTCCCCATGATGACGTTGATCCTAACCCCTCCATGTTTGTCTGCCTCTACCTCTGCATTTGCCAAACAGAGCCCCCCCAAAGAACCGCAACGATTTCGAAATGGTGAACAATTTCCCACGCGCTGCTCCCCTCAAGCTGGACCGCAGGGAAGCATCGTGGAACGCCCGCGCGTCATCGAATGGCCGCGCGCCGCCTGTCCCTGCCATTGCATCATGCCACGCGCGCCGCGGAGGCGCGACCAACGCGACAGAAAAATGCCGGCGGAAGTCATGCAACGCATGCCTTCCGCCGGCATTCTCTGCTCGAGGCTCGCGGGCGCCCAGGCGGCCGCGGACGCTCCTCCGCCCGTGCGCGGCCTCTCGCGCGGGCTGCTGCGCCGGAGGTGAGATGCGCGACCCTCATCGCCATCGGATGCCCTTGTCAAAGGCAGAGGAGCAGGAAGAAGATGATGACGACGACGACAACGACGACGACGACGACGCCGACGAAGACGAAGATGCCGACGTCGATGCCGACGCAGACGCCGACGCCGACGAAGCGAGGACGAGTGCGAAGAGGAGGAAGGGGACGAGAAGGACGAGGAGGTTGGGGAAAGGGGATGAAGAGGGGGAGAATCGGCGCAGCACCCGCGGGCAGTCCGCCGCCGACGGGAGCGGCCAGGCGGCCGAGCGCAGGCTGGGGCCACTGGCACCTGCAGCCGGTGTCGTTCGGCCCTCGCCGTGCGCGGAGCAGAGAAAATTGCGAGAAGCAGCCGCCCTGGTTGCGTGAAGACGCTGGAGGGTGCACGGGCCCACCTCGTCCCTTCACAACTCGCCCCCCAGACCTCTTCTGAATGCGTTCTGCCAAGAATTCGGGGGTTGGATCCGGCGGTGGTGACGCGATCGCCCCCGGGAGGCAAAAAGAACGCCCCCAAGACTTCCAGGAACTCCGCCCCTGCTCTCCCGAGACGCTGGAGGTCTGGGGAAGGGGGGGGGATGAAAGAAACAGGCCCTGACGAGAACGGGTCGGGAGCCATCCCCTGAGACCAATTTTTCATCTCGAACCCTTTGCTGACAGTACTGGGGCCCGCCGAGGTAAAACAAGGCCAGGGACAGAATCGGATCCGGGTAAATCTGGATCCCGGCAATTCTGGAAGATGTATTGGGCGCCGCGGCCGTTCCAGAGCGCTCCAAAACGCTCTAAGAGCGATCCGGAACGCTCTGGATCGGTTTTATCCCGTTCCTAGCCCCACCCGAGGAAGACCCCATAAGCCCCAAGACGACAAAAAACTTGCAGGAGCCGTCTAGAGGTCTCTCAAGTGGGGTCCGAGTAGGTGGGAACGTTGGCGCGGAGAAGATCGGGCTCCGCATCGAGCCGCATCGCCGGTGCATCGGCGATGCGGCGAGGCCCTCCAACCCCATCCACTTTGCAGGGACCGACTGTCCCGGCATTCCTATAGGCCTACCACGACATGCTCTTAGAAACCAAACACGTTCGAAAAACAAAAGCAATTCTCTCAGAAGATAAACACGATGCACTGAAACAGGACAGCCCCCCGAAATGTTCTCAGAATGTTTCGCCGAAGCCACAACAAGTTCCTAGAACGTCGCAGGGTGGGCCTACAGGCACGCCAGGACGCTTCGCCACTGCTTGGCTACTTGGACCCTACTTGGGAGGCCTGGGCCGTTTTCCTCGGGACCCGGTTCCATCACAGGCCCGGCCAGAGGCGAGGGCTGCCAGGTTTCCCCGGGGCCGTAGGCGACCCGAGGAAAAGGAAGAGGAGGAGGAGATGGAGGAGATGGAGGAGGAGAAGGAGGAGGGGGATGGAGGAGGAGGAGGAGGAGGAGGAGGAGGAGGAGGGAGGAGGAGGGGAGGAGGAGGAGGAGGAGGAGGAGGAGGAGGAGGAGGAGGAGGAGGAGGAGGAGGAGGAGGGAGGAGGAGGGGGAGGAGGGGGAGGAGGGAGGAGGGAGGAGGAGGGAGGAGGGAGGAGGAGGAGGACGGGTCGCCCAAGCCCTTCGGAGAAGCCCTCCGAGGCGAGGGCGCGTCCTTCCCCGCCGTCGTGAGCCCGTCGAGCCGGAACTCCGAGGCGAGCTTGGCGCTCGAGGGGACATGGCCGCCGTAGCCCACCGGCCTGCGCGGGGGTGGGTGGCCTCCGAGGCGGCGCCGCCGCCGCCTCACGCGCGGCGAACGTGTCCACACTCGTGTGAACGGCGTCCCCCGGGGCCGTAGGCGACCCGAGGAGGGGAGGGCGAGGAGGAGGAGGAGGAGGAGGAGGAGGAGGACGGACAGGAGGAGGAGGAGGAGGGAGAGGAGGGAGGAGGAGGATGAGGAGGAGGAGGGGGAGGAGGAGGGGGAGGAGGAGGGAGGAGGAGGAGGAGGAGGAGAGGAGAAGAGGAGGAAGAGGGAGGAGGAGGAGGAGGAGGAGGAGGAGGAGGAGGAGGAGGAGGAGAGGAGGACGGGTCGCCTAAGCCCTTCGGTGAAACCCTCCACCATCCATGCCCTCGCGGTCTGGATTTCGGGGCGCGAGCCCGTAGGTACGCGGTCGCATGGATACGTTCCCAGACATGCACCGTCCTGAGACAAATCGGCACGGAGGCTTTTCTCAAATTTCGGTCTCTGGGAGCCCGTACAGGCCCCCACGACCGTCAAAAACAGCTCGGGGATGAACAACTGGTCCTGGGGAAAGGGTCAAGACTTCCGGGGGGCCGCGCATGGAACAAGACAGGACACCGCATGTCTTGCTTCTGCGCGGGGCACCACGCGTCCCACGAGCCACCTGCTCAAAGTCCCTTCGGCCCCGAGCAAGTCTCGACGCAGGGCTGGCTGGCCGTGCCGGCAGCTCTGACGGAGGAACGGGCAGAACAATTATCGAGAGGAGAAGAAGAGGAGGAGGAGGAGGAGCAGAGGAGGAGGAGGAGGAGAAGAACAAGAGGAGGAGGAGGAGGAGGAGGAGAAGTAGGAGGAAGAGGACGACAAGAAGTGGAGGAGGAGCGCTGGGGAAGAGGAAAGACACGGCGAGCGAAAACAGCGCCCCGTGTCCACGGCGTCGCGGCCCAGGGGCCCGGCCCGCGAGGCCGCGGATACGAATATGTCCTCCACCCACGAGCCGTCGCCGTTCTCTCTCGCTTCGGAGGCCTTAGGGCGGTACTCTGGGAATCTGCGTCGCCGCGGCCAGGCGGGGCTCGAGTGCCCAGCGCAGAGTGGACCCAGGAGGCGTCGTCTGTCGCCGTCGTCGTCGTCGTCATAGTCGACGACGTCGTCGCCGTCGTCGTCGTCGCCGTCGTCGCCGCCGTCGTCGCCTTCGTCGTTTCGTCGTCGTCGCCGTCGTCGTCGCCGTCGTCGTCGTAGTCGGCGTCGTAGTCGGCGTCGTCGTCGGTCGAAGATCGAAGATCGATGTGTTGCGTCGTTTAGTCGAGGATCGAAGGTCGATGCTTCGGATAGGATCGAGGATCGAGGATCGATGCTTTGGATCGAAGATCGAAGATCGAGGGTCGAGGATCGAGAATTTTGATCGAAGATCGAGGGTCGAGGATCGATGCTTTGGATCGAAGATCGATGCTTTGGATCGAAAATCTAAGATCGAGGATCGATGCTTTGAATCGAAAATCGAAGATCGTCGTCGTCGTCGGTCAGAGGGTCGGTGTTTTGGGGGCGCCTGGGGGCCTCCAGAGGGGCGCCCTCGTGGCCACGTGCGGATCAGTCGCTGGAGGTTTGACCTGAGCGCGAGCCCCAGCACGGAGCCGAGGGCCATCGTCGATCGTAGTCTTCAAGAGGGGGAGCGAGCATCGGCGGCGAGCGAGGGGGGGGGAGAGAGAAGGAGAAGGCCCTCTCAGAAGGCGGCGGGGCTTCTCAGAAGCGCTCCGGCCTTCCGAGAAGTGTTCCGTGTCTTCCGGGAGGGCCCAGAGAACTCACCAGAAGGCCGGAGGGCTTCCGAGCTCCCTGAGGAGGCCTTCTCACCTCCCCGCCCAGGCTCGCCGCCGAGTAGTCGCCAAGAGGGGGAACGAGGAGGGGGAAGACGAGAGGGACGAGGAGGAACGAGCAAGAGGGACGAGGAGGGGAGGAGACAAGAGGGACGGGGAGGGAAGGAGGGGAGGAGATAAGAGGGACGAGGAGGGGAGGAGGCAAGAGGGACGGGGAGGAGGAGGGGAACAAGGAGAAACGAACAAGAGGGACAAGCAGGCGAGCACGCAGCGGTGCAGCCGAGACGACAAAACCACAGCGCTGCAGACGGAGGTAGCCGAGGGGAGAAGAAAGAGGACCAGAAGAATCGAGGAGGGAGGAGGCCACAGAGCCGCGAAAATCACCGAATCTGGACCCCCCCGGATCGGCGGCACTGGCCGGAGGCCACTACAATATGAGGAGTCCTGGGATTTGTATATATGCGTTTGCGTGTCCCAAGGCCCCTTCAGAGCATCCTCTCGAGCTTCCGTGCTGCGGCTGCGTGCCCGGGGCACGGCGGCGGAGATGTCCGACGGGCCGGCGGCCGCGCGGCGGCCGCGGGGCGGGGCCGCGGCGGGGCGCGACCACGTGCAGACGCGGCTGACGTCCCCACCCACCTACGAGGGAACCTGCTTTCTGCTGTGGGTCGAGACATAAAGTTTCGAAAATAGGAGGAAATATGAGGAGTCCTGGGATTTGTGTCTATGCATTTGCGCGTCCCAAAGCCCCTTCAGAGCATCCTCTCGAGCTTCCGTGTTGCGGCCTTGTGCTCAGGGCACGGCGGCGGATGTCCTGCGGACCGGCGGCCGCGCGGCGGCCGCGCGGGCGGGGCCGGGCGGGGGCGACCACGTGCAGACGCGGCTGACGTCCCCACCTACGAGGAAACTCTTGCGTTCTGCTGTGGACCGCTGCTAGTCACCGGAGGCCGGGAAATTGGCACCAGCCCCAACACAGGGGCTTGCCTCCACAAGGGGGAGGGTGATCCTAGATTTCGGTGCTGGCGGTAAAATCTCGGCCACCTGGGGAGCCAGAATCTTACCACCATCACCGAGACCAGGATCTTCTTCCCTCGGTGGAGGCACGCCGCCGATATTGGTGTTGGTGTCAACCTCGAGGCCTGCTAAGTCAAGCTTTCGAACCGATTGCAGAGCAGATGGAGAAACTTGTGAGTTGAACAGTGTTCCTCCAGTCAAGGCACCTCCTTCTTGGGAAACGTTCCTTGCCTGAGCCTCCCCAGTGCTTCACAGCTCCATGCTGTGAAGGCCGCCGGGCCATGCAGAGCGACTTGGCACTCCATGCGCAAATCTAGGGGAGCGACTTGGAACTCGGAGGTCCGCGCGGATCCCTCGGATCGGCGCTGGACCCCCCTCCCTGGCGCGCGGAGCGCGCCAGGGGCGGCGCCAGAGGCGCCGCCAGGGGGCCCCAGCCCCGATCCGAGAAATCTGCACAAACTCCGAGCTTTTATGTTTGTGTCAGTGCTTGCTCCCCGGAGGAGGAGGGGGAGGAGGCGGAGGAGGAGGAGGAGGAGGAGGAGGAGGGGGGGGAGGAGGAGGAGGAGGAGGAGGAGGAGGAGGAGGAGGAGGAGGAGGAGGAGGAGGAGGAGGAGGAGGAGGAGGAGAGAGGAAGAGGAGGAGGAGGAGGAGGAAGAGGAGAGGAGGAGGAGGAGGAGGAGGAGAGAGAGGAGGAGGAGATATTCGGCCCAACGTCTGCAGAACCCACAGAAGGTTTTTTTTTGTGGCTTGGGTGGAGCGGCCTCTGCTCCCAACGGCGTGGCTGTCGTGCAGCGCCCTGCGCACGTGGACGGAGACCGGGGGAAGGGCAAACGCCGAGGGGGGGCGCGGCCCATTCGAGCCCACGCCCTACAGGCCATCCTCGATTCGTGCTGCGCCGACGTGCGAGCCCACAAGGACGGAGAAGAGGAGGGAGGGAGAGACCGGCGGCGCGCTCCAGGGGGCAGGGGGAGGGGGGGGGGGGGAAGGCTTCCTGGTGGAAGGAGGCTGCGCCACAGAAGAGGCGCGGGCCTTGCGCATGCAGAAAGAGGCCCGCGCCTTCTAAGGCACAGCCTCCTTCTAAGAAGGCTTACCCACCCCCCCGGCCCCCCTCCGCGCGTGGCCGAGAAAGAGAGGACGAGAACGGTCGGCCCCACGCACGCCCCGTCCGACATCCGGGACCCCCGCCGCGCTGCTCCGCGCCGAGCTGCGGGGCCCCTGCCGCGCTGCTCGGCGTCGTGCCGAAGCTCCCCGTCGTGCTGCCCAGTGCCGGGCCGGTGGTGTCCGCCGTGCTGCACGCGAGCGACTGTCCAGCTCCCAGCAGGGGGCTGCCAGCACTCGCCGCGTTGCTCGGCGTCGTGCTGGTGGTGTCCGTCGCACCGCGCATCGTCGTGCTGGCTGTGCCCGTGGTGCTGCTGAGCTCAACGACGTGCCCTTGGCACCCGTCGTGCTACCCGTGTTGCTGCCGGTAACGGCGGTGCTGGTGCCCGGCGTCGCACTGCTGGCGCCCGTCGTGCTGCTCACGAGCGGAGTGCAGCTGTCCCCATCGCGCCGCCATGGCAGCCGAGGAGCGCAGGAGAGGCTCGAAGCAGCCCCCCCCGCCTGCTCGACCGCCCAGACACGAGGCCAGGCTTCGTACGTGTCCACTGCCTGGGGAGCCGATGCTTCAGGACAGCCAGGGGGCAGTGGGCGTTGATGTCTTCGGGCCCACGGGGGGCCCGAAGATGTCCATGTCCACCCGCCTCCCCGTGCCCCCCATCGGACAGGCGCCACCCAGGATGCTGGGCTGGCATGGTAGCGGGACCTGAGCTGGATACCCACCGCCTCCCCAGGCTGCAGGGACATCGGCGGTGGGCATGCAAAACCCCCAGCCTCTGAGTATCGTTTAACCGATCCCCATCCCCGTCAGCGTGGGCTGGGCCCCACTGGCCGATTTACCCCCCTGGATGGCGATGCGGGCTGCTCCCCTCGGGTTTCGAGGGGCACATCCCCAACTGAGGTGGTGAGGCGGTGGGGCTCGAGATGTGGATGGGGATGGGCATAGGGATCGATTGAACGATACTGAGCCTCGGATCAAGAGGGCCGTCACCCACCCACACACACCGCGACAGCTTGTCGCAGCTCAGCGAGACTGCACACCGCGCTCGGGGGCCACCGTGGAACGCAACGGGACAACACACTGGGAACAGCAGGCGGAGGAAGA